CGGAGTTCACATCACTGTCACTGATGTAAAGACGAGTGGTTTTTATAACAGACACAAAGTGATTCCTGTCTCCAGTCGAACTCAAACAAAGACTGATCTGCTTTTATTTATTTTTTTAAAGCTTTCTTTGAAAACTGACAACAAAAAGATTTTTTTATAAAACTTCTTAAACACAGACAAATATGTGAGCTCTCAATCTATAATCATAATAATGTGGAGGCAGTGCAATCAGTGCCTGCAATCATGTGTGATTCCACCACCACCGCCGTGTCACTGGTATTTGTGGTGCCACAGTGTTAATGGTGAATGTGCGCTGAGTGATTACTGGAACAGAGTGACGTCAGACAGACCGCTGGGTTCAAGTCTGTGTACAAACAACAACAGAGAACACAATATTATATCACCTTATGTTTGACCATCTGTCACCCCCCCCCCTCCCTGACTCCCTGATTCAGTGACTCATTTCATTTTGACTCATCATCATCGTTCTGTTTGTATATTGATGTGTTATTTTGTCTGTTTGTGTGACTTTGTCTTCTTACTCCTGTTGTCTAAACACTAACTGTCGTCTCTCTCACAGATGGATCGTGGAGTTCCTCTACACTGAACCAGACTGAAGTGAGTGTAAACGTCACAACTAATGAACACAATTAATAAAAACACCATTTTAATTCCCTGAGAGTTCATGAGATCATGGAGTGATGTGGAGAGTTTGTTAGTCGTTTATATTGCTAAGGATGAAAAATATAATATCATATTTCTGATACAGATAATATAGAAAAAAGTCTTTCAGTTTCACCACTTCATTGTCACATTTTGTTTTTTTTCTTCTGCGTCTGTGGTTTTAATAGATGATATCTGGCCCAGTAATCGTGTCTTGTCATTGCAATATGTTGGAAAAACTCCACGCTGTGATTCCATTACTGCCCCCTGTCTTGTTCTTTTTCATCTGTTTTTTTTTATATATTTATTTATTTCTGGTATATTAAAAAAATACAACAAACATATTAGATAAAAAAAACACAAAACCCCAAATGCCCTCAGAGAGAAGCTGCTCCGTAATGAGAACATTTTCAAACAAGGCTGATGTTGTTTCCACTACAACGACT